TATTGACAATATTCTTCTTATTAACTTCCAATCGTTGCTTTTTCTAGCTAAAAGCCTTAAACTGTTCAATCACAAAGTGCTTTTTCAATCAATCAATTCAATCAATATGCCGTTTAACAATATCAACACCTTTTCTGTATCAAAGGACCTAATTACAACAATTTTACAAGTCTATTTACTTGATCAAAAGTAATGCAACATTTGAAAAAATTTCAAAGTTATAAATAGTTCAAATTAGTATATTAAAATATGCTGATATTGTAAATTTATTTGCTAAAGTTAAATTGCATATTCTTAATAACGATAATGATTTTCTTACCTGGCTGTCACTGCACGTTGAATGGCAGTTTGAATATCCGGAAATGGGGCTCCATCCATCGCGGGACTACCTTTGAGAATTAAATTACAGTATTTATAATGATATCGTTATCGTTATATTTTAAAAAAGTAGTACAAATATGAATGTTACTTACCGCAAAAATTAGAGGTGGAGGAATATTTTCTACTAGCTTGTTAAATGCGTCATTCGCAACGTCAACATTTTGACCTGGACTGGAGTAAGTCTTTTTATACGTTTAACTGGTCAACGTGGTTGCAAGGGCAAAGGTGATTGTCATAATAGTCATAAATTTCATTTTCACTGAATTGTCAAAGTATAAAATTGTAAAATCTTTTTTGTAACGAATGAGATTTTGAGAGTATAATTTTCTATTAGTAATGAGCAAAGCAGTTGTTTGATGAATTTATATACACAACAAAGGTCCCAATCCATTGTTAAAAGGAACCAATAGCAATAGTGAGACGTTAAATTATGGATTCCTTTCTCCCATGTCAAATAATTTAAATCCATTCTTTTATATTAGATATTGTGCATTTAATAATAACTAATCCAGGTTAAAATATTATTATTCATAAAATATTTCAATATATTTAACTTATTCTAAGCCTGATAAAAGCTAGTTGAATTGATATTAAGGTTTTTTCTCAGATTAAGTACAGAAAATGGTAATTATTTTAGTTTTATCAGATAGAATATAGGAAATGGTCTAGAATATCATTTTATTCTGATTTTATTAGTGTTTGTCAGGTTAAATATAGTAAATGATCTAGAATATCTAAAATACTAATAATTAAAGTTATTTCTGATTTATTCAGGAATTAAAGATAGGAGATGGTTCAGAACATCGTTTAATTTTAATTAGTCACCACATTTCCTTCAACATCTTTATCCATTGCTTTGGAGTAGTTTTGGTTAACTGGTCAATAGTAATATTAGCCTTGGTGGTAGCGAGATCATCCTCATTTGCATGATCGATCCATCCTTGTTGTTTGCGTCTCCCAGCTAGCAGTAATGTGTTACGAGTAGTGATGAATTCAGTGCATCTATGATTTTCAGTGACCTGTAAAGCGGTAGTAAGTGTTTTGAATTTGGGAGAGAAAAACACTAGTATCAGTTGATTTAACATCATTTGTTTCCAAGACTGGATTTAGGTTAGCATGGTTGGTTCTGGAAGCGCCATTGTTCATCAGTACAGTATTTGCATTGTACGTTTGCCGTTGATCTTATTCATTTGATTGTTGATTGTTGATTGTTTGTATCAAGAGAGTCCAGACAGTACCGCTATACGTGTCCAGATTGGCGACATTAGTAGCAAGTCAGTCAGCTTCCAAAATTTTGTTGATTATAACTTTGATCATACGGTCTTGGTTAATAAGTTGTCATCCTAGTGACTTTAACTTGTTCTACCTATTAGCAGGTTTTGAAGAGTCTGGGCAAGAATGCTGAGATCGATAGTTGATGGTGCTACCTGTAGTTGGTGATAGGTCTTCATTGATTCTTCGGTGTCAGCTTCTTAATGGTTCTGGCCATCTTGATAATGCTCACTAATATTCCGTCAGAGTTTATAGTAATCCACTTTCTGACTCAAGTCCTCTTTTGTAGGTACACGTTTTGTAATCAGGTGGGTAGTTGCCCTTCTTTAACAATTATTGAACTAATTAGCGTATTCTTCAATGGTTCCTTCTTGTTTCAGGATCTAAAGTTTGTCTGCCATTGTTTTACCTTTTGATGGGTTCAAAACTTTAATGTGAATCAGTGTTTGAAGTTATGCTCATAATGCTGTTGATTTGTCCATGCATTTAAGTGTAGGTCGTCATCGGCATGTTTCTATTAAATCAAGTGGCAGCGGTTCCTTCAAGATACCCTCGTACAATTTGGATTTTTCTTTTGTCGGTGATTTCGTTGGCTGAGTAGCGACTTAAAGTCCCAGAGCCACTCGACCGGGTCTTGGTCTTTACCTCAAAATTTCTTAATTGGGATGAGAATCTTTTCCAGACGTTGGGTTAGTCCATTTTGCCTGGTTTCAGTGAGTTGAGCAAGGGCTTAAATTAGGTTATCTATGTTGATTGTCATTTCTTTTTTTGCCTTCTGGTTTGTTTACTAATTCTTGGTCTTCGTCAGGATCAGAACCTTCTTCGGTGATTATAATAATTTACTTGTGGTTGTCTTCACCAGTTATTTCCAAATCTTATTGGTTCTGAGGATAGTTAACTAATATGTTGCATATGTATGATTGTTATTTCAGTGTTGTGAATGGTATTTCCAGAGGGGGCACCAAAAATGTTGCAGGTTTGAATTAATTAGTTAGTTTTAGAGATTTTTACAACAATTAATGAGAGCAATATAGACTAAATCCAATTTAATAAATTCTAAAGCCTGTGCTGATATCTACAAATATCAGTAAGGTAATTAGGGGTTTATGATTTATGAAAATGACTTTATTGGTAATAAGATTAACTATTAAGCCATAAACTCTTAACGTCTGATTACTTCGATTAATTTTATTCAATAAACAATAATGATTTCTCTTAATAATACGATGCCTTTTCTGGAACAAAGGACCTAACCATCAAAATAACGTCGACGTTTACTATATAAGGGATTTACAAGTCTTAATTTACTTGGATAATAATCGAAATTCTCAACGATTTTTACAAGTCTAAATTACTTGGAGAATAATTGTACGCAATTTAATTCTATATATACATTCTTGTTCTCGATACTACAAGTTTTTGATTGGTACAGTTAGGACTAATTATACTAAATAGAACTGTTAATTTATCTGATGAATTATTGGCATCTTTTGTTTTTGATGAAAAATGTGCTATATTTTATGATGGAAGAAGTATTATACTGTTTTGATGAAGATTACGCTATACGTATTATGCTGACTTGTTCAATGATACTGCTAATGAATTATACATTATAATAAACATACTCTTGACTTCACGACGACGACTACGATTAAACTCTTGCACAAACGGATACTTCCTAATTCAATAATTGCATTATGAGTAATTAAACTATACAAAAAATATTAGACAGGTAAAAAAAACCTTACTTTAAATAACATAAATGCGCAATCGATATTAGTTTTAAACCTTCCAAGAAACAAGAATATAATACGAAGAATGATAGTACTGGTCTGCCTTGGAATGCTTCTGTCATATAGTTTTCTTAGATATGAGCCAATTGAAACCATACGATGGTAGGAGATACATTTATGAGGCAAAATATATGAACGTTTACAATTGTTTTTGTAGAAAAACTTAGTAAGTAAACCAAAACGAATTACCGTAACGTAAGCTGAACCAATAACCAAAAAACAATATAAAATCGCGGAATATATCCAAACGATTCCACAAATAGCTAGGATCTTTTATAAAAAAAAATGCCCAAATGGCAAAAAGCAATTACGTACAGTCAACTCTCGATATAGCAAAGTTGAGCTCAAACACAGTATATCTTAGATCCTCTCGATGTAGTGAATTATTAATAGACTCTCGAATCATGAATTTTGTTTCACTATTTGTGAGATATTTAAACAATTTTTATTTAACGCTAATTATTTATTTGGGTTGGTTCACAGCAAAAATGGGTTTAGAATATCCCAAACCAAAATTGAGATTTTAATTGGATTAGATTCTTGGATATGTTCTATATTATAGCATTCCGCAATTCACGTACAAAGCTTCTTGTATTTTTCCACACCATTCTTCCATTCTAAATATAGTTCATCGTGATAAAAATCCCTGATATTTGGAACGAAACATAGTTCATCTTTATAAGGATCGTGTATATATGGACGAATATCCTTAAATAATTGTGTTTGACGTTTAAAGGTTTTATAGAAATTATATCAAAAGATTGGTATAGATCAAAATGAATACTATTACGAGTTATAGTTTCTGTTTTTAAACCATTAGATTCTAAAGACATAAATAAAAATTTCCCCACATAATAAAAATAAAAGTGCTGAAATGCTCGTATACCATTGTATTTAACAAAGTAAGAGCTTCAAAATTATAACAATTCCATCCTAATTTATTTTCACCATCATATCCAACTGCTATTTATTTTCGATTGATTAATAATGGTTTCAACGTAATCCATGCTCATCATAGCAGTAGCTTTACGATAAGCAGATTTAGTTATTCCAAAATGTGAATCACAAATAATATTGTTATGGTGCATAAAATCTAAAGTCATCAAACGTTTGTATTTTATAAACTGTATAAACTTCTTTGCTAAGAAGTAAATTCAAAATTTAATCCGTGAATATGATAGAATAGGCCTTTTCTGAGCATATTCACGGATTAAATTTTGTATTTACTTCTTAGTAAAGAAGTTTATACAGTTTATAAAATATAAACGTTTGATGACTTTAGATTTTATGCACCATATGACCAGGAACCATAAAATTAAGTTCAATTGTGTCAAAACGTCTAATTATACATGTAATAAGTCACGAATAAAACCAAAGTGTAAGATTATTTTGGTTTTGACCTCCCACATTATCAAATGTAACTTTTAGGTTTTTTGAGATGGATTCCAGTAAAGTAACCTGTCATATACAAGATTAAGCACCTTTAGGCGTTTTCATTGGCAATTGATGTTCCCAAATAAGATAATTTTTTTGTGTCGTGGGTTCTAAACCAGTGTTGGTAACTCCAAAATATGAACATTAAATTGAGATTTAAAAAAACCACCAGGTTGTCGTAGTGAAAATGGAATCGGTACATTTGAGCCCAATCATAACAAATATGAAGAACATTAAGCTTTTGTTGTTTACTGATAGAAATATTTTCATTACAGTGTTAGATAATGATCATAAATACGTATTATCGTTATCATTATATTGTCACCATCTGATTAAACACACCATCCTATTTGCGTACAAATAATTTCATTGAGGTTCTAAAAATAATTATGGCTAATAAGACATGTCGAAGTCACAAAATGACAATTACATGTACGTACTCCATTTAACATTTAAAATACCCAATTTGTGTTCTTTTTGTTTGAATAATATGGTAGCATTTGTGTATGTAACGATATCGATATTCTTTGTTTCATAGCTAAATTTAACTTGCAAATGCATATCGATATCAAGTGTGTATGGAAAGCGCAGTAATTTAATCTTAATACCCACAAAAAACTTTTCACAGAAAATATAGACTTCTACTATCGCAAAGAGTTCCCCGAGTTCAGCTAAGTACATGTATTCACTTGTTAAGATGCTCAAAAAAAGCATTTCTGTAGTATTGAATTTATGACAGAGTGATTTAATCCTATTAAATAATGGGTTTTTTTTGGTATTCAGAGCATTATACGTATCAACCAACTGCTAAACATAGTTAATCATTACCTGAATCGTAAACTACCTACATACCTTATTTTCCAATTCCTCAATCGAATTTACTTCAATATACGACAAAGTGATTCCTACTTGATTGATACTAGACGCAAACCAACAATACTACCAAGTTTATTTGTCAATTCTCTTGTTTCTTTCTTTTCTCAGTTTCTTTCTTATTCTTTTGACAGTTTTTTTTTAGCGAAAGAAAGGGTTTGATCTCTGATTTTTATTGACTAACAAAATTTTCATTATTATTAAATAAAAGTAGGTACCATTTTTTTAATGTTGTCTTATTTTGTTGTAGTGTTTTATCGTGAATTGGTAATATTTTGCAAGACACTAGATTTAGTTTTATTCTCTTAATTCATTTTTTAGTTTTTTGTTTATATTTTGCAGGAACACGTCAACTTCTTTACTTTCTACATGTAGTTCAAAACACTTTCTTCATGTGTTTAAGATATTTAAAAAGCTGTCGTACTGACAATGCAATGTGTTCAGTTTATGTTTATTTTTTAAATACGTAGTAATGGTGCGTTCCAAACTTAAATTTGGAACATTACATGTACATGTACGTATTTGGTATCTTAACATTACGTAAGTTGTACAACTTTAGAGATTTCAAGTATGAAATCTATATTATGATTTTGCCAACCAAATGGTCGTTTATTTTATTGGCCATGATTCCAAAGTTTTATGTATACATGTATTAAATATAAAAATCTACAAAAATCCTAACAAAAAAAAAAACATTGTGATAATCCCATTTAAACCATACCATATTCAAAAAATGAAACTCAAAAGTTAATTTATCCGGAGAATTCTAGACCCCAAAGATTGTAGTAAATGTACCGATTGTCAAAAAAAAATCTGCTGTAAATGTCCAAAAGATAACTCATTATAAAGCTGAATGATCTAACGAAAAACAAAGGTACTGTCAGTCTAATAAAGAATGCGTGAAATTAAAAGAACTTTTAATGGATCCCGTTTAAAAGATTTACCATGTTGACTATCTTGCATAAGGAGGTTTTGGAACAATTTATAAAGAAACCTGGTCGTTAAATGGTGTCATGTTGTCGTGGTCGACGCAAAGTTGTTGCGTTGAAATCATTACATGATTCAAAACAAAATTTTGAAATAAGCAAAATGCTGTTTTGTTTTTAAATAAAATTAAATAGATTCAGATGTTCTAAAGTGCAGTAGTGTTAATTTTAATTATTATAGCGATAGGGTTTGTGCGTGATATTGCTACGTGATTTAAATACATGTAACTTAAATCATGGAAAGCCATACACTAAAACTGCAGTATTTATAGTTCTTGGAATTGCTATGAACAGGATTATTAGCGGTTCATTTCATTCTTCATCATAAAACTTCCATTATATGTCAAACGCAGATCCAAATCATAAGAGACTTTTTTTCCTTTTTAAGTACACCAAAGACATGTGACAATGGTTTTACACACAAATGAAAGTTCTATATTGGCGTAATGTATGACACGTAAACGGAGATATGAACCATCTACATATATGTACAGGTACATGCAGAACACGTAACAATAACATAATGTTTCATGCATAAGTTAATGAATGAAAGTTCTATAAGATATTCTTTGAAGAATGGAAGTTCTATGACGGTATACCAATGGAAGTTCTATGACGGAGTAACTCTCCTTTTAACAATAAACATCAGAGATCGCTCGACCTTGCACTGTCGTAGTCAAAAAACATGTGCACATTGCACATCAAAATTATGAAATTAAAATTTTGTAATAACGATAATAAAACTTTATTCTTTTTTTCAACCCTGTAAAAAAATAATCAGGCAAAAATCCGGTTTTTTTTAGTTCCAGAAAACCAGATTTAGTTATAAAGTTCTGGATGAAAATACCACCATAAGACTAGACGAATCGAATGATGTATTTTTTTGTCTGAATTGAAATTGTGGATCACGAAATATCGCGTCCCCCCCCCGTTTTTCCGTATTTAATCAGATTTTGATCCGATTTTACAGTGCTTGACACTTAAAAACTGAAATAAATTAATAATTTTTAAAAGATAATACATGTTGAATGTTATACAGAAGTGATACAAGAAAAGGAGGCCCCAGATTTGTAACTAAACCAAATTTATTACAAATTGCCGGCCTCTATCTCAAAAAACTTTCTTATTACGTAATCGACTTATATTAGTTTTAAAAAATCCTCTTCGATGCAAAATGTGACAAAAACGTGATCTGTGATCGACAAATCAAACGGGAAGTCTACGGAAAGTGCTTAGGAACAGTGCAGGATCACGTGGCCTTCAAAAATCCACGCTCACGTATCACGGAAAATTGACGTTAAAGGTTATTTTATCGTTTGGATTAGGGTTAGGGTTAGAGCTGAGAATAAGGTTATATGTAAAATTGCTTTTCCGACATATTTTATTATTACTTCAAGCTAGATTTTGACATCTGTTTTCCACATTTCCACATTTTTTATTTTCTTGCGTCAATAACCACGTGATTCAGCACTGTCCGTAGACGTCCCGCAAATCAAATTACGATATTACGTCACAGGATTCACTTTGATGTCTAATAATAATGCCAAACAAAGAACTTCATCAAACTTCAAGAATATAATAATAAGAGGCGGAAATTGGCAGAAAAGAAAAGGAAGCAAGAGATATTTGAGGAAAGATAGTGAGCTTAATGAAAGTGAAAGAGAAATTGAGACAGAGATAAATAAAGAAGAAAGTTGCGTGTACATTTACTTGATATAGAACTTGTAGGAAAAAAGAGACAGAGAAAGCAAGTTTAAGAATAATAAAGA